CCCCTTCACCTTTCTGGAAACTGCACTTTTTGGCTGCTGCGGGTAGTCCACAGAAAAAGGTCTTCGGGTCGCCTTAGTCCAGATAACAGTTTTTGTGGAGAAAAGAACAACTACATAAACAAACAGGAGATTGAATTGTAACAGTACAACTTCCTCACGGGCGCAGATCGTTAGTGCCGGTTCTGAAAACGCGCTCTCTCGGACAACGGGCTTGAGTTCTTTTTGGATACTTGGTAAACCGTTTAGTTTAGAATGTCTTAGAGTGAAATTATATATGGTTTTGCAATATTTGTTTCTGAGGGAGCGGTGGTTTGTTAAGGTGTGGTAGTCAGCAGTTTGAAAATGTAAAACAGTGTATTAGTACAATACACCTGTTGTGATAAGTCAGAAGTAGTAGTAACTCGAGGGAAATTATAAAATATTATAACTGTTATAAAAATATTAAGGTGACATATACATTTTAAATTATGAACAAAGTGAAAATTCACATACACAGATGTATGATACTGTATTATTCAGCTGCACTATGCAAAGAGATTGTGTAAAACCATACCTCTTAGGCAGCTGATCTCTCCCCATTATATTCAGCCACATCTTCTAACCTAGCTTGAGATACAATACACCTGCATGTCCATAGTCCCATGGTATTCCACAAAATAGGCATACATGTTCAGTTGGTGACAGGACTGCACTCTTATTTCAGAATTTATCTAGCTCTATCACTTCTGGTCTTCATACAAGACAAAATAAGGACGTTGGTCTACCATGAACAATTGGCAAGAATATTTTTCTGTCTTTTTTAATCTCACTCACACTGCAAAACCACCACAGCTGCAGGGCTGAAATAATTTTCATGATACATGAAGAATAAAGCGTAAGTATTCGATTGAAGTTGGGATACTATAACTTCCGTTTCTGAAAGCATACTGAAAAACAGCAGGATAATTCAAGTACAACTGAAGGCATGTTTGCTGCTTGTTCTGTGCACACAGAAAGGGCGTATGCTGTCTGTTCTCAGGGTGCTGACAGTAATGCATTTGCACTTATGGTAATGGATGTGGTATTAAAAAAACCCACAGGTTTTAGGGGAAAAAAAAGTCTACTTCTCCAAAGACGGGGCATTTGATATCAAAGTTAGGGAAAATAACTAGGGAGGTTCACAATGCTTTTGTTATAGAATTGATGTATTTGTCTCAAAGATGGTACCTGAGAAAATTGAACTGCTAGTTACAGTTGTATTTATAATTAAAGAAAATATTTATGCAAGTATTTTACATCAAGATTAAAAAAGCTATTCCTTTCTTGGTAAGAAGAAAGTCACACTAGTATTTTTCCTTTCAGCTTCAAGTTAGTATGCAGATCTGTGGCTTGTTCTTTTGCTTATGGCCCAGAATAAGTTGGGGGTCCTTGCTCATATCATGCTTGTTATTTAAAAAAAAAAAACCAACACCACCACCACCAACCAAAACAACAATATAATTCAGTTTTCCCAAATAATATAATGAGCACTGTTTTAACATGCGCATTATTAAAAAAGCAGAAAAAGCCCGACTTCCTCTACAGATCAGTTAATACCCAGATAATATGAAGACACTGGTCACCATCCTTTGTTACACATACGCTTGCAGCATGAGCAAGCATGTGCGTTGTTCAGGCCGGTAACTTGTGATGTACAGTGTTGCAGCTCCAGCAGCGAAATAACACTATAATGGTTGGAGCATAAGTGGGGACAGGAGATTGATAGTAGGTGTTGGCATGGAACATCACCTACAACTATAGACAGCACAGAAATACTGCATGGTTTTTCTTGGGAGTTTTGAGAGACAGATGGATGAATGGGGAAAGCTGGCAAACCTTTCAGAAAGGCGGACACAGATCCTGCAGAACTGGAAAACTGTCTCTGATAAAACAAAGGAGGCCAAACTGGGAGAGTGAAAGTGACTGCACGGTGTGAGGGGGAGGAGAGGAGGTCATGGAAGGCACTGGTAAATACGGTAATGATTTTGTAGGGGATGGGCATTTGCAGCAGCCTTTGGAAATGGATGTTTAACTAAAATGGCTGGCACGTAGGCAGTTGAGACACAAGAAATGCACTCTTGTGTCAGATCAGTGGCCCATCAAGATGGCTTGTAGGAAGTACCCAAGAATGAACTGTAAATAAATGAGATGATAGATGAGAATTTAAGATATATGAATTAGTGTTTAGAGCACCAGGAAATAGTTAGAATCAGGCTGGGTAGGCAGATGCCTGTGATACATCCTTGTAAAGGGTAGTTGTTTTGCAGTAGAGGGCTATCAGCAGGATCTGGAGGATATTGAAGTAAATTGATTTTTGGAAGGGTCATTTCCTGCATGATTTCAGTGAAGATGGTTAGTCCTAGAATTCTTCACTCAAAAAATGAAGATAATAAATCTTTTGTCTCGCTTGTTTACATTTTAATATCTTTGGGCAAATACAGGAGGTTTAGGAGGTTTAAGACTCCTATTACCATAGTATCAAGCATCCTACACTTTTCAGTGTGTCCATACTCTCAATACCCTATGAAGAGAGCAGTATTATTCTCTAAATTCCATGGATAAGAAACTGAACGTGGATCTCTACATTGATCAACTTGGACACTCTTCCTCTTGTGACTGTACAACAACCCAGTAGGATTTCAATCTGAACTGGGATCCCTATATGGAAGTGCAAGACCTTGTTTTCTGTTTGATAACCACTACTTATTACTAGCCTAAGAATTCAAGGTTGGATAGATTTCTAGCACATCTGCCCTAGTTAAATTAATTCAAGGGAAGTCCTCTAGCTATACAGGAGGTCAGCCTACATAATCACAAACGTCCCTCCTACCCACACCGCTGGCCCTAAAGTACTGCTACATGGCAAATAAAGGTACTGGCTAAACATCAGCATTAGATTTTTCTTATTTCTTGGGGCTGCTTTTTATAATGTAAATGCTCTCCTTGTATATATACTGTACCATTGCACCAAATCCGCCATCCATAATGCTAACAATCAATCACCTAATATTTCCTCCTAAGGGTATTGTATCCTGTGTTGGTTTACAAGGGAATAAGGAGATGATATCAAGAGCATGAAAGCACACAGGTTTAACCACATTTGCCCTTTGTTTCACATATTGCAAAAGCAAGAGCCCGTTTATGATAGACTCTGGAATAAATACTGGCAATTCTGTCATGTCTGCTGTATGGACTGAATCTGAGCTACAGCCAGTTAAATGTGATCCTTCTCTGACAAGGCTAAGCTAGCAAGAGCAGAAAGAAAAAAATGAACTTTAGTAATGGTTACACAGAACCCTCCTTTTGGCAGGCTATGACCTCAATAGTGAGCACCGGAAGTGAAATTATATGAAAAAGTTTTGTTTCTGCTAATCAACCATGAGTCCAGCTCTTCCAACCCTAACCCAAGCTTGCACAACCTCTCACACAGGAACTTACCCATTACTTCCTTATTAGCGCTTAAGGAGGTTTAGGCAGTCCAGCCGAGCCAAGTAACGGGCTTCTCGCTCCACGGCTCCACGAATCGCGTCTTCTCTGCTGTATTTAAAGAGACAGGGTTCATTTAGTTCTGGTTAATGCTTTTTTAATTCTTACGTATTGCCATGAACTACTGATGGATTAAACCAGATGAGTAAGATTGATGTAGAAGTATGCCTATTTAGTCCAATTTTAACAGGGTGGTGTTCGAGGGCCTGATGGGTTGTTTTCTGGTGATTTTTAGCCGTGCACGCTAATGGACATTTATGATGAAAAGAAGAGTAAATGGATGTTATTGTTTCCCCATAAGCCTATTTTTCTGGAAGGCTGGAAGTAGGCCAAGCCCCCCACAGCTACCAGTCTGCCCCTCACATCACAGTAGAAAATGGTTTTAAAGATTCCTACTGCTAGGGCACACAAAGTGTGATCAGCCCCATAGGCGAGGTGGAACGAAACACGGCTTGACCTGCTCTGCTAGGCGGGGAAGCGGCACAAGACCCGCCAGGGCGGAGGGCGTTTCTCCCCGTCCCGAGCAGACCGGGCTCCGCGGAGCGCCTGCTGCGGGCGCTGCTGTAGCCTCGGCGCCGCCCAGGCCG